CGGCTCAGGGTTGACTCAGCCTTCCATCCTTCCGAGGTGGGTAAAATGAGGACCCGGATTGTTGTTGGGGGCAATATGCTGACTGTGTAAACCGCTTAGAGAGGGCTGAAAGCCCTATGAAGCGGTATATAAGTCTAACTGCTATTGCTATTGCATTCAAAGTTACAACGGCACTGAAAAAAGTGACACAACCATTTTTCACACTTTTCACACTTATAAATATTGCAGCATCCCCATGGTCATATGATCAAGATTTGGATTGACAGCTGGTTCAAATTTATGATGGTTGGATCATGTGAACACCTTTTGCAACTTTCTGACGAGCAAAGTCAATGGTGAAGCCAGATTCACTTAACAATCATATTACTAACTTAACTGCAGTGATTCATTTAACAACTGTGGCAAGAAAGATCATAAAATGGGGCAAAATCCACTTAATAACTGTTTCACTTAGCAACTGTTTCACCTAGCAACATAAATTTTGAACTCAATTGTGGACGTAAGTTGAGGACTACTTGTTTACTTTTTAAAAATATCAGTAAAATCTATTTCAATAACTTCCTGAAGAGATTATAAGAATACTGCACAAATTCAATATTTTCCAATAAAGAAGATTCCTTATATATTTAGAGGTTCAAACTTAAAGATTTAATTTACAAATTAGGTTTTTTATATTATACAATATGCCAATATTGCTCTGGTCCAGTTATTTAATTACTATTTTCCTAAAAAATATTCTGTGATCTCACTATTCTCACATAAGGACAGAGGGGTAGGTGACAATTTTAAAGTCTTAAGTGCTTAAAATCTTCATTTTACATGTAATTTTAAACGTGGAAAATACATATTGTCCATATTAAAGCATACTGAAGTGTTGTTTATATATTTATTTTTAAAAATCATACTAATGTAGCACCTACTTTGAAAGACAGCTATTACATTAACCCAAGCCTCCTTTCAGTTCTTCTTTAAGGGAATTTGATAGATACGTGGAGTTTTTAGTAACTCGGTTACAGACATAAATTTATTTTTCTATTTTTTAAATATAACTTTAGATCTAGAATATTTGTAAATATCTTCTGTACAAAAAGAAATGTGTATCATGCATAGTTTGGAATCTGTTTTGCAGGAGACAATTGCAGATGGACCTCTTCCATGGGTTTCCCCAAATAATGTGACATTTGTAGCAGAACAAGTTTCTCATCACCCTCCAAGTAAGTTATTTTGTTTGTAAATTATTTTAAAAACTATTGTTGCTGTTTTCATTTTGAAACTTCAGCGATTTTTTCTCCAGATTTCTTACTGGGAAAGCAAATGTGTTTTGTGTTTATTTCCTGCACTATAGTTTACCATATTTATTTGTCCTTTTAAGTTTCAGCATTTTATGCAGAATGTTCCAGGAAGAAAATTCAATTCAATGCTCACATCTGGACCAAATCAAAGTTCTTGGGAATGTCTATTGGTGTTCATAATATAGGCCAGGGTATGTCATTGTATCTGAATTTTAAACCTGAGTTTTAATTCTATAATTATAAAGTATTTTTGACAAAGTATGTATATATTTGTTTTTTCCTAATAGAGATAGCCTCTGACTGCTAATAACAATACTTCTAAACTATTAAAAACACTAATTCTGAGTGTTTTTACTAATTTTTGGTGTTTGGTAGAGGAATTTTTGTGACTTGCATGGATTGTAACTTATTGCTATTTTCTGTCTTTCTGTGTTAATATAAGAAAATGTGGGTTTGTTTAATCCAACCCAACAACAGGCAATATCTGGTTTTTCCATTAAAGACAATTTAATGAACTCTAGTCAGTTTTGATACAGTGATGAGAGTGATGGGAGTAGCATCTGGAGACCTATAAGTTGCTGTCACATATTAGATTGTCATAGTTGATTCTTATCTTAATGAGCAATGAGAGCTACTGATACTGCTTATCTGACGTTAACTGAGAACAAATAATTCAGTATTCTCTTGCAATGGTTCCTATAAAAGGATAAACCAGAATTCACATTGCTTTGCTCATTATCATTGACTATTAACAGATGCAGTTAGTTGTCTGGGGTCAGTTCTGTCCATTTTAATGTTTTCTCTCAGAGTAAGAAGTTTTTGACTTGCTTATTATTATCAAGTACAAGCCATTGGAAAGTAGTGGTAGTATGTACCAGCATATTGCTCATTCCCTGCTTGCTTAAAATTCTGCTGAAGACTTTTAATCAATCATAATAATTATTTGTAGAACATCCAGAAGAAAAGCTTTGATGATAGTATTAAAAAAAAGTGATAGTTATCACAAACTTGATTTTTATTAACCTGATTTTGTTGGCCTTTATTGAAATACTCTGCAGATGTAATTTTAGCAGGGATATTTAAGTTAGAGGATTTTATTTTGAAGAAAAATACTATGGTTCATCACTTAAATATGAAAAGCAATAAAATCACAAGTTAACTTTTTTCTAATTCTTATGCTACTGGTTTGCTGTTAAAAACCAATTTCAACTAGAATTTCCAAAGTAGCAATTTGTTCGGTCATTTGTTCGGTTCAGGGATGGCAAGCACTGCTGCTCTTTTTTTATTATTATTACCTATGGGGTGGGTAGGGGGCATGAAATCGTCATTATTGGAAAAGGCAAGGCTAAAATTTTCGCTTCGGGGTGTCGGGCTTAGATTGTGTTCAAGTAAAATAAAAACATATCTTTTGAGAGCTAAATATAGCCATTCTGCTTTTGGTGACAGGGTGGGGGAATGAGTGGTCTGCAGAAACATAACCTGACAGGTTATTTTTGTTCACCTTATTTTAATCCTTATTATTTTCCTTTCTCTCTATAAAAAATGGAACAATCCCATACTGTTATTTTTTACAGGGTGTGTATCATGCTTAGATTATGATGAACATTACATTTTAACCTTCCCCAATGGCTATGCAAGGCAAGTAATTCTAGTTTTCAGTAATTTTATAAGTGATAATTTTTTTTGTCTTCCTAGCTGTTGAACAATCTGAATTGGTTTTTTTGACAGATCTATTCTCACAGTGCCATGGATAGAGCTGGGAGGAGAGTGCAACATTAGCTGTTCTAAGACAGGCTATAATACTAATATAATATTCCACACAAAACCTTTCTATGGGGGGAAGAAGCACAAAGTAACAGCAGAAATATTGTAAGTATATATATATGGATGGATTTTAAAAGTCGCTGTCATTTCAAAGTTCTGATATAAAAATATAATAGAACTGCTGGAGACTACTTTTAATATTCCATAATCTGGTGCCCTCAAAATATCTTAGTACAGCCATGATAATGATGATGATCAATTCTGACCCTTTGATGATTCTCTGGCCAGTCTCTCCACATCTTTCGATCTTACACTGTTTCTTCAGTTTTTGTATGTTTTGGCTTGTGTCAACTTTGACAATGTCCAGCCAAAGTGTTTTTTTAGGGCCTGGTTTCCCACATGACATGACTAAAATAAGTGAAAAGCAGTTTCATGACTTTACTGTATTGTACCATACAGTATAGCCATCTAAGTTGGAAATAATAATTACAGTCAACTGCAGGTGACCAGTTTAGGGAAAGCAGTTTTAAGGATTTTTGACAGATCCCCTCAGCAGGTAGCAGCACCTAACCAGACCTTTTCTGAACTTTTCTGGGTTTGGATGCTTAGTAGGGCTGGGGTGGTTAATATTGAGATGAGAGAATATTAGTCAGTACTACTACTGTAGGATAGACAGGGACATTGAAAAATCATCCCAGAAAATTATAGGGTTATGTCAGTGATATCAGTAAGAGTCAAGCTTGACTTGAAGAGGTTCTGATGTGCCATGCTGAGCTAAGCATTGAACTCAATTGACGAGTGGCCCCTGATTTTAATCCTTCCTTCTGTTTTTTAGTTCACCTAATGATAAAAAATCCATCTGCTCAATTGAAGGAGAATGGAACGGTATCATGTATGCAAAATATGCAACAGGGGTAAAGTATCTTGATTTTTGAATGTTTGGTTAATTCATAGATTAAACTGTTTTGTTGCATTTTCTCTTTTGTATTCCATAGGAAAAAGTTTGATAAATTCCAAGGATGTCATTAATTTAATATACCAATTAATCATTCTGCTCCAAAAACTGTATAGGTAGTCATTTCTTACCAAGAGTAATTAGGACCAGACTTTCCATCATTAAGCAGTAACGTCATAACATGTAATGCCATGTGACTATATTGCTTAGCGATGGCAATCCCTGATTCTGTCATTAAGTGAGATCAAAGATCTCCTCCTGGGTTCCAACAAGCAAAGTCAATGGGGAAGCCAGCAGGAAGTTGCATGTGGTTTGCAAGTAGGCCAGCAGGGAGTGGGGGGAATAGTTGCAGCAGTGCTGGGAATGGTTGCTGTGAATGAGGATGTGTCACAGGTGGCTGCTACAGATATGCATAAGCCCTATGGAGTATGAAATCCCTTTATAGTTGAGCTCCTCGGAAGAAAAAGCTGCAGGAGTGTGAGTTAGAGGAGCATCTTGCAATCTTCCAGCTTCCCTATTGATTTTACTTGTGGGAAGCTGGCAGGGAAGGTTGCAAATAGCAATCATGATTGTGGAACTGCAACTGGTGCTAAGCGCCAAGTGCCTGGATCATAATTGTGACCACAGGGCTGGTGGGACAGCCAGATCTTCAAGGGCTGCTTGTACCATTTGTTCAGCACAATGCAGCTTTAAACAGTCACTGAACGAGTGCTTGTTAACCAAGGACTAGTTACAGTATATAAGGGAATGCAAGATTAAGCCATTTTCAAGATATAGATAACTGATATTTGTTCTATGGCTAACATTTTTTTGAAATCAGTTGCATTATTGGAAAGCAGATATTGGATTGCATTGTTTTGTCTATATATAAAGAAATATAGATATGAATAATACTGATAAATGTTCTAATGAAAAATGGATTTAAGTTGAATAATGTAAACACCTAATAGAGATTTTCTTTCTTTAGGAGAATGTAGTCTTTATAGATACCAAGAAAATACCTATCATTAAGAAGAAAGTAAGAAAACTAGAAGATCAAGAAGAGTATGAATCCCGCTGGTCAGTGTTAATATACTTTTTTTAGTTTGCTACAATAACAGCTTCAAAAAGTATTCTCAAACTCAAGTAGTAATTTACTTGAACTAAATATAAGTAATCTTAATGAATGTGGGATAAGATAATTTGTTATAGTATTTTGTATGCTGCCTATTTCAAATGGATTATCAGCAGTTGAAATGCATATGTGAAAACTTAAAAGAAAATTGAAATGTTTTATTCAATTATAACAATACAGTTTGGTCAAAAATTATGCAAATCTATCTTTCTACCTACCTCTTGACCCACATTCTGAACAATGCATTACAGGTATTCCTCAATTTACAACCATTTATTTAATGATTGTTGAAAATTACAGTGGCATCGAAAAAAGTGACTTGACTGGTCCTTGGGCTTATTCCTGTTGCAGCATCCCCATGGTCATATGACAAAACTTGGGTGCTTGATAACTGGCATGTATTTACAACAGTTACAGCATCCTGAGGTCATGCGATCATCATTTGCGACCTTCCCAGTCGGCTTCCAACTAAGCAGCCCAACTAAGAAGCTGGATTTGACCACTTAATCAAGATGGCAAATAAGTAACATCATGCGCAATTCACTTAACAACTGCCTTGCTTAGCAACATAAATTCTTGTCTCAATTGTGGTTATAAGTCATAGACTACCTACACACCCTTACCCTTCATCTTATAGAACTAATATACAAGTAGAAGAGCTCATAGAGTACAGATCACCCAATTCCACTTTGACAAAACTGATAAGCAAGAAAAATCACAGGTGGAATTCACAAGGTATTATCTAGCCTCTCAAGACTATACAGAATCAGGACCTGGGTGAATTTGAACAATTTTATCAGCAAAGTGTTTCACAAACATCCCACAGTGGTCTCAGGAAGCTCTTTTTGAATCTCAAATCCCCAAAACCTGTAAATCACCCTAAATATGACCACCGAGGGACACTCCACTACTGCAATAAGGGTGGAAGATTAGAAATTCTTTGCCACCTCTACTGTATATACACGAAGCCTTATGTCAAGTTCGTTTCTAGGCTTCCTGTATCAACATTCCAGGTTTTTTCTGCCACCTCATCTTCTGGGTCTCCTCAGTAAAATAGAGAGCAACTCAGATTAGTAAGCAGAGTGGTCACCCAGGGTGACCATCTCATCACACTTTCTGGTCACCTCTGTATTTTAGAGTTCAAACAGATATTTGATGAAACTGCCTGACAAATTATTAGGTCATCCACCAAGTGTTTTTAGAAAGACCGTTGGCTTACCTGAACGGTTGTTCTCAGGGCGCTGCGAGGAGAGTCCAAGCGTGGATTAACACAGCCTATCTGCCCTTGGACTGAGTAACGTTTTTCTTGAACATGCCTCCCTTAGCCTCTCCATGTTCAGTTTAAAAACGAAAGGACAATCATACAGTAAGAGTTACAGTCAATAATATAGTCACAGTTTGTAAACAAACCCCCAGGAGAGTTTGGACTCTCAGGTAAGCCAACGGTCTTTCTCCAGTGCGCTGCTTGGAGAGTCCAAGCGTGGGACATGCCCAAGCTATTGAGTCCCAGGGTGGGTAGGAACCGGAGTCTCAGCGACTCTTTGCAAAATTCTTCTTCCGAAGGAGGCTTTGGCTGAGGCAAAGGTGTCTATTTTATAGTTTTTTATAAAGGCGGTAGGGGAAGCCCACATGGCCACCCTG